AGTCCCCTCAGGGAAAAGGGCGGCCTATAAATAAACTTATATCCAATATATCCAATATCCAATACTTGAAAGAAGTGTATCTTGTGCGACTTTACAAGCCTGAGAGCATAATGGCCAGCCATGTTTTACTAGGCTAAAATCTCATACTTAGGATGCCATCATTGACAGTCATCACATTGTGGACTACACTCACTGGCATGACCAAAATAGCCTCTTTTGTGCACTGATCAGATGATAATTGGGAAACACTTTTTTTCTAAACACATATAACACTTATCCATAACACTTATGCATAACACTTATCCTATGCAATTGATACCCTTCCCCATAAAGTACATACACACAGCTGAAGTAGCAGCACCTCAACAGATAATCTTTCAAGGAATCATGAAGTTAAAAATATAGTTTGTTAAGCACCCATGGAAGTTTTGCCAAGGACAGATAAGTTAGGACAGCACAATCCTCTCTGACATTTGACACAAAATCATTCAAATTCTATGTTAAAATAAAAAATAAAAAACTGTGGTGAAAAACCAGTGAAGCTTGTGAAGCTTTCCAGATACATCTATGTGGCTGATGTACAGTATATAAAAGTACAATAAATCTGTGTTCCTTGGAGAAAATGTTTGTTGAGTCTAGAGTAGATAAATTAATGGCTTTATCGAGTACTAGGTTGCTGACCAAGAGAACTGAGGACTTCAGCAATGTGATGAAGAAAAAAATAAACCAGAGTTTTTCCAACTGAGTGAGGCAAAAGGTGAAGTCCTCTATATACCTTAATAGGGATCAAATGTTTTTAAAGACCTGAAGTGCTAAAAAAAGTATTTGGAAGATTAAGTTTGTTGATAGTTTCATATTATTTTGGGTGATTAAAACAAAAAAGCAAATAAACTTTTCACAAAATAAATAGGAATTAATATGGAACATATGTACATTTAAACCATTTCACAGAGAAATGCATTGGATTAAAAAAATAGCTGTACATATATTAATTCTCATATTCATCACAGAAAGCATGTATTGGATTAATTGACCAATGGCTAGATTTGCACAAAACACAGATCCACTGAAGAATAGGGCAGGGTAGTTTTTGTCCAATGTATTGTAGGTATATAAGTGCTGTCTTACTTTATTGTGTCGATCAAAGCATCAGATTAAGCTATAATGCTTAGGGCAGTTCATGTTGTCTGTACATGGTTATTGCATTTTGCTAATCAATTTAGTATGTTCTCCAAACCCAGGAAATGTATAACTGCTGTGGACCTTGAATTTGTTTGGAGGTTCTAGCAGGGGAACGCAGCTATTGTATACCTTTGACCAAAAATTGGTACACTCCTTCTATCTGGGATGGTTGTCCTCTTCCACCAAGTGCAAAGCTTCAGGAGGGATGCACATGGAATGGTGAAGGAGGAAGGGGACACCCGCCTAGCCAGCCAGATCAGCCGAATCAACCCTGGTAATCAATGGGGTAACATATGTTGCAGCCAGATCGTCCTCACATTGTGTGTGAGCGAGATTTGAACACCTTGACACAATGGTTAGATATGGGAGATTCCATTGTATACCCTACAATGAGCGTCTCTGCATTTGCAGAGTGGCAGAGGTAGAACTGCTGTGCTCACAGCCTATTTGATTGTTGCTTGTATAAGGGAGTGAGGAACAGATACCTTTGTCTATATACCAAATGAATGACCCATTGGGATCCCCATATCAAAACAACTTACCTTATGTGCATCCAGAACCAGAAAATAACATTTAACACAGCACAGTACTTAAACAAAATGGTTCTATTGAGATTCTATTGAAAACAATTTACCTTATGTGCAGCCAGAACCGGAAAATAACATTTAACACAGCACAGTACTTAAACAAAATGGTTCTATTGAGATTCTATTGAAAACAATTTACCTTATGTGCAGCCAGAACCGGAAAATAACATTTAACACAGCACAGTACTTAAACAAAATGGTTCTATTGAGATCTGCATATGTGGGACTGATTGGGATAGATTGCAGGGGTGACACCAAAATATAATTTTATCATATTTTATCTATATCTTAAATTATTGTATTCTATTCCAATTTCATTTTAGACTAAACTTTACTCCAATTCCATTTTAAATCATATTTTATCAAATTCCATTTTATATTGCTTTTATCAAATTTTAGTAATTATTTGTTTCTGGAACTTTGCACTTTGATATGGCCCAAAGGCTAATCAATAAAGATTCAGTATCTATATTTTTCACTGCTGTGAAAAAGGCAAATCTCATACTAAACATAATTCAGAAAGCATTTTAAAAAAGTTGATTGGGTACTTTTTAATTTGATGAAAGCAGAACTAAAGGAAGGCAGACAGAAGCATACAATTACATATATTTACATGGGAAAGGCAAAGTCAGAACTTTTTCTCTTCTCATAAACATTTTCATAAAATGAACTGAATTGTTGGGAGAAACAAGGAAACAAAGAAATGCAAAAGGAAGTCCTTCACACTGAACAAAATGGGTAATTTTGTACAGGAGAAAATGGTAACCACCAACTTTAACCACCACAAGCAGCTTTAAAAAAGAATCATAAAATTTTATAGCCAATAATAATTTCAGCTACTAATGGGCAAGATGGTTGGATATTACTTCTAATTAATGAAGAGAACAGGTTCTCAGTATTAATTAGTTGCTGAAGGATACGGATGAGGAAGTCCTACTGTATTCATGTCATGCTTGTTCATTTCTCTTTATTCCCCCATTGTGGATACAGAAGTCCGAACAAGCCTTTAATTTGAATCTCTAGCACTCAAAGTCTTATTGCAAATTATTTAGAAAAATATGCTTCTTTAGAAACTGCACAATTGATTTCAGAAACAAATAGACAATGCAATTATTAGAAGGTATCTGTAAGGTATAACACACAAACACTCACACACTCACTCACTCACTCTCTCACACACATACACCAGCTTCTTATACAGCTTGTGCATAAGGATGCTGAAAAGAGCTGATACCCACTATCTCCATAGCAACGAAGAGGACCAATTCTCCAGGCAGCTTCAGAATTAGGTCTGTTCGTATCAGTGATGACTATCTGGTTCACAGGTAAATGTTCTTTAAAGGAAAGGAAGCCGGTGTCATTGGTCCTACAAATAGATAAATATGTAAAATGTATATCAAGGTAGAAATCTTAAATAGCTTTGCATGAGAAATTATAAATATACAGATGCCTATATACAGTATATGTAAAGTATATGTAAAGAGAGACAGGGAGGGAGGGAGGGAGGGGGAGAGAGAGAGAGAGAAAGAGAGAGAGAGATTTGGATCAAAAATGATGTTTAAAGTCTATTTTGATGACATCCATCCACCCATCCAACCACCCACCCACCCACCTACCTACCTACCTACCTATACATACACACACACACACACACGCACACACACATCAGCGGGGTCTCACTCACCATCTTCAGGCTGGGTTTTGGGCTTAAGCCAAATACACACACACACACACACAGACACTCAAATGCCTAATCAAAATACTATTAATCTGGTGTCAGATTGCTAGCCTGATTCCTGACAAGTCTCCTTACTGAGTGCATCCCATAATTAGGAATCCTCCATCAAAGTGCTCAAAATAATTTGAATGAAAATACTAATAGGCACTGTGTAAAAGTGTCCCAGAGCAACCTTGGAAGACAAGGAAGACCAGGTCACATTTCATAAACAATGGCTTCCATTCAGCGATACGTAACACTTGAGTTACCAGTTATAATGGAATATTGCTATGTGGACACAGATAGAAGTGAGTAGTGCTCCCATTTGCCTCCACCTTAGCAGAAGCTGGGTTTGTATAACTTCCTTTATCTGGTTACTAAATAAAATCTTTTTGTGGATTTTCAAAGGTCATTGACACAAATGTTTGTGTACCATATTGAAACAAGAAAAGGAAAGGAAAGGAAAGGAAAGGAAAGGAAAGGAAGAAATTGTGTGAATGCTTATGTTGGTATTTGGTCTATTTAAGAGTATTTCTGAACACAAAAATTATATAAATTGTTGCTAAAAATTCCTCGGAACTGAACTGTAAGATATCTCAGGTCAGACAGGCTGCATTATACTATGGATACAACATCCTGAGGTATGCATTATATCTGGAGAATAGAAGAGATGCTGAAATTAATGTAAAGTTCATAACCTAGCTTTTAACATGCTGTACCAGCTGAAAGTTTTCAATGGTTTTCAAGGGTAGCCAAAGAGATTAATTCAGTTTTGAGGACTGCTGATGTAGGAGATTTTTGTGAAATCCATTAAAGCAATCTTCAAAAAACCTTTTAGGTTTTAGAAATTGGTTTGAGGTGCAAATGTCAATGAAATATATAGATAATATGGCATTATATGTGCATATAACAAATGGCAAGTAGAAAATAAACATGGGATATCTATTTAGAATGCAGATCTTGGAGAAATTGTGTTAAGGTCCACAATGCCTAAAGAATTTTTCAGTATAATATGATTTAATTTTATTTATTTAATTATATTGATACTTCATATAAGCAATATTTTTCATGACAGAATTCCAGGTAACTCTCATCTAACAATTGACCAGGTAGTCTTGAAATTAGCTAGGTGTCTGATCATGTATTTTCAGATCCTTGTTAATCTATACCCATAAAATACATGCGAACAATATGGAAACAAATTAACTTTCTTACATGTTAGCTACATTTCAAATGTTGAAATGTAGTTCAACAATAGTTCAGAATTTCATTACATCTATGAAAGAACATGTAAGTTGCAAGTTCATAGCAATTTTTAATATTTCTTTATAGTAATAGCAATAGCACTTAGATGTATATATTGCTTTACAGTGCTTTACAGCCCTCTCTAACCAGTTTACAAAGTTAGCATATTGCCCACAATAATTTGGGTCCTCATTTTATCCACCTTGGAAGGATGGAAGGCTGAGTCAAACTTGAACCTGGTGAGATTTGAATGGCCAACTTTCAGGCAGCTGTCAGTCAGTAGAAGTAGCCTGCAGTACTGCACTCTAACCACTGCAGCACCATGGCTAATGTATCAGTCATATTGAAAAACAAATTCTCATTCTCTTGTATTTCAAGATGCTGTTTTGCAGTACTATAAACTAGAATATTCACAAAGTCTCCCCTCACTTGTATTATAATAGTTGGCAGGAAAGTAGTGTTTTTCAATTTAATTTCCTCTCTTATAATATCCTTTGGGTATATTGCCTAGTTTTAACTTAATGAAACCTGACTTGAATAGATAGCCACAACAGCATTTAATGAAATTTGTGAAACAGTATATTATGAGAAATGAACTATCAGCATATGTCTGGTGCTATGCAACTTGGAAACAAGCCAAAGAAAATATCTTCAAAATTTTTGAAAGTTTGCAAGTAGTGGAATGCAGATTATAAACATTTAAATTTTCCATGTTGCTATGCAAGTTTTAAAAAGTTAAACCAGCATTACAAGTAAAGTACTGCAGCTAATTATGTAACAGAGATCCTGGAAGATAATAGCATTTAGTCTGCCTAAATAAGTCAGCCCAACTCAATAATAATTCTAGCATCTGTTGTTTATGATAGAGAATAAGGTTCGTGTTAACAGAATAACAGAGTTGGAAGGGACCTTGAGGTCCTTCTAGTCCAACCCCCTGCTCAAGCAGGAAACCCTACACCATTTCAGACAAATAGTTCTCCAATCTCTTCTTAAAAATCTCCAATGTTGGAGCACCCACAACTTCTTTAGGCATGTTGTTCCACTGATTGTTTTGTCAGGAAATTTCTCCTTAGTTTTAGACTGGTTCTCTTCTTGATTAGTTTCCATCTACTGCTTCTTGTCCTGCAGATGCCTTGGGGAATAGGTTGACCACTTCTTTGTGGCAGCACCTTAGATATTGGAGCACTGCTATCATGTCATCCATAGTCATTCTTTTCATTAAACTAGACATATCCAATTCCTGAAATTGTTCTTTATATGTTTTAGCCTCCAATACTCTAATAATCTTTTTTTGCTTTTCTCAACATCTTTTTTATATTGTGGCAACCAAACTGGATGCAATATTCTAAGTGTGGTCTTACCAAGGCATTATAAAGTGGTACTAATACTTAACCTGATATTGATTCTAACCTTTTCCCCACTTTTTTCACTTTTATAGAAAAGAAATATTTTCTGTCAATTGAAGAGTACATTTTTCTAGAATTGTCATGACAGTAGTTCATGGATCTTCCTGACATTATCTAAAGTATGAGATGCCAAGTGTGCTTATATGAGTATCCTGTTTTTCTGTACATTTCTCTCTCTCATGATCTACCTCTCGTGATCTTGGCCTCTTGTCTTCTGAATAAAAATATTCTCTGGGTCTTTTTTTCTGAAGCACAAGGAGCTATGGAGTTTGCAGAGTGATGCAGTGTATGTGATGGGGAGAACACCATCAATGTATTATATCATCTTGTAACTAAAAAAGAAGGGTAGAACCCCGCTACAATACCTCCAAAAGAAAAAAGTTTTTAAATGAATAACAGAAGCCATTTGTGAAGAAAACTTTCAAGAGGACATTTTCTAACATTGTATTAAGCAATAGGAAAAAGCCAAATATTGTATCAAATTATAAGTTGCACTTGTACAATCTGCTAACCTTCAGAAGTATGAGCTACAACTTTAAAATCCAGGGCTGGTAATCCTACCACTACACTGAAGGCAACAAGCCAGTTTAAAACTACTGAAGACTATTAAGAATACCTTATGCCACCAGGGTTGAAATTTTAGGCTTGGACAATCTAGAACTATGCCACCCATGGTCTGACCTAAATGTAATGCACAAAATTGTCTGCTACAACATCCTACCTGTCAATAACCTCTTCAGCTTCAATCTCAATAATACATGGGCAAACAATAGATACAAACTCAAGGTAAACCGCTCCAAACTCGATTGCAGAAAATATAACTTCAGCAACAGAGTGTTCAACACCTGGAATGCTCTATCTGATTCTGTTGTTACATCATCTAATCACCACAGCTTCAACCTTAAACTGTCTACCATGGACCTCACTCCATTCCTAAGAGGTCCGTAAAAAGGGGCATGCATAGAGCATCATCATACCTACCGTCCCTGTCCTACTGTCCCCATTTACTTGTATTCATTGCCTTGTTCATGTCCATGTTTATACTTATACCTGTTATTTAGTACATGTTCGAGAAATTAAATAAATAAAAATAAATGAATGGAATGGCAAATTGTCTCAGGAACAACGATAACAACTATCACTGTTTGGAGGGATCCTTGGTGGTCTCTGAGCTTGGTTATTTTACTTGAAGACATTTCATTATCCAGATTAGTAACAAAACAATCAAGCTCAGAGAGCACCAAGGACCCCTCAAGTCAACCATGAGTTACAAATATTCTCCTTTATTGCTACCATCACTGTATCGCTTAACAGATAAATTCCCCTTTTTGTCTCTCTCTGCTTTCAGAAATGCCACAAAACTGCATGGTTCCAACCTAATTTTTTTAAAAAATATTATATTGATAAGCACAACACTCAATAATGTATTAACTGTTATGTCTGTAACTATTGTATTATGTGACTTATGCTTTATTTGTAATTAACTTTAAGAAATTGTTAACTTTGTTGATGGCTATTTCCGAACAGAAAAATCTGTAAAACCAATTAAAAAGTACTTCTAGCAATGAGATAACTATTTTCTGCTTGCCTTTTATCTAGTTGTGAAAAATGAATATATCAAGGGAGAACTGACAAATCTAATTCAGTAGTAAAACACTCAAAATACAGAATACAGAAATTAAAATACATTCTCTGTGTATTAAACATTCAGAACTCAAACTCTTGTCTATATATGAATGGAAGGCTGTATTAGTTTTGCTCTCTTTGATATTCTAATATTTTGAACTTTGAAAGTAGCGGGGTATTATAAAAATTTGGAATTTTTTTTGGAAAATTGCTCCTTAAAAATAAAGATCATCCAGACATGTGTCAATAATCTGTTATATGCCATACAATATGTTCTATCTAAAATACATTCTCTGGCTCAAGTTCATCAAATAATCAATGCTCAATCATTAATCATGATCTTCAAACTTTCTAGCAAGTGAATCTTCATGGAGGGAATGGAGATAAAAGTTTTTTTATATACATTTTTCTAACTGTTTTAAGTTCCTTCTCTTGCCCTAAAATATTCAAAATGCTATATGCTTTTTATTTTATTTTATGGGGCTGAGCTATTTCCTTTCTAAATTGAAAATGCCAAATTGCTTTAGCCTATGAAAGCCATTCTGTGCTCACATAATTTTAACTATGGTCTTTTGTTCATTTTCCGATTCTACTGTAACCATTTTTCTTACTTCACCACTGATTTACACTGCATTGGTATAATTTCTCTGTAATATAGGTCAGGTGTAGTGCAGAAGGAAAAGATGAATTTTTTTTTTCAAATTTTTGAGGAAAAAATTTAGAGTTTCTATAATTTATTTTTTCTTCAGCCCCATCTCACTAATATAAAATTAAAAGTAGTTCATTATTGCCATTAAGCATGTATGTATCATTAATACATAATGTGTGTAATTGTTTTATTACAATAATCAGAAACCTATTATGTAAATTAATCATATGGTGAACAATAGGAACTTTCTAAATATGAAAATATTCAAAGCAGGAGGCCAAACTAGATTCTACAGTAGACTGAAGAACAATTTATTCCACCTTCATCAGCTTAAAATCTGCAAAGGTATAAGGAATATCTATATAGCAGAGTGAGCTTGAAAGAGAATTAGTTGATCTAATTTATGAATGACAAAATTAAAAGAGCATGTTGGTCAATTTTATAGATTTGAAATTGTTTTTGAGAGCAAGCACTTATCAAGAATATTATCCTTAGTCATAAAGTTAAAGGATGCCTTACTTCTCTAATTCAAGTTCTTCTGCGTTGGAATTCAAATTGGAAACACACAATTTGAAGGCCACTATAAAATTTCTTTAGACATTAAACTTACTGAATGCTTTAAAGAGGCATTTATATTATATTTGTTTTGTGTGGTTTGGAACTCTACATTCCCCAGTTTGCGTGTCAAACTTATGACTGAAAAGTAAGATACACAAAAAATAAACTTTATTTCCACCTCATTATAAGCCATTATACTTGCATGTTTTTTTTCTTTTTTAGAAAATAAGAAAAAATTGCCTTTGATTAGTGATATAATAATTCAGTCCTTCATAAAGCAACTCCCATAGACAATCACTGGCAGGTCTGCTATCTTCTACCAGATTAAAAAAGCCATTACTACCCCTAATGTAGCCAAAATTTGTCTTGATACATGAGAGTGAAGCACCAAACATTGATCCATAAAATTACATTTTTACTGTCAACATTTCTTTCCTCTCCTTCTGTTTTTAACTCTTTTAACTTCCTGTAATTTTTTAATAATGCATAAGAAGTTCATGTATATATACAATATGTGCATATGTACGAACATAATGGTAAAAGTCTGCAATAAAGCTTACCAACCACCTTTCATTAAATTCATAATATACTTCTATATGAACAATAGCATAAATTAGAATGCACTGTTACCATTCTTCTCTGTCTGCATCACAGTTACAAAAGTATCTCAGATCCACACAGCTTTCTTCTAGACCACAAGCACATTGTTGGATTCCTGGAATGGAGCCTCCCCAGTAAGGATGCTTTTCGTTGGCATGACCAACCCACCAAACAAATGGAATTCCATCTGGTGGAACAAAGAGAGAAGATCTGCCATAGGAAATGTGAAATAAGCAGACAATTCAAAGAAATGAAATGGGCAAACCTATTTCTTTTTTCCTATATGTCCTACCACTGGTAAAATGATAGGAAAGCAAATTTGGATTTATCCCCAAAATTTTCAGTAATATAGTAATATAGTCATGCTGAGCTTCACTTCGAGGTTATCATTTTTGGAGCAACATATTAAATGTCCCACAATCAGATAGGTAAAATGGAAGCATGATATTGATAAAGTGATATTTGTAGGCATTTGTATTTCTTGCTGGGATGAGAGTCTTTTCTGGGTTTTTCCCCTCTTTTCTTGTAGGTGTGTATCTCTCTGATTAACTTATGTGTATTTATGAATAATTAAGAAAGATGCCCAAGGAGACAGGAAAACCAGCTATAAATATGCAAATTAAGGGTAGGAGGGAAGAGATTATTTCTATAGTTTAAGGTTGTTGATATTCCTTTCCATGATGCATCAAAAATGTTTTGGACTTCTTATAAAATTTGTCATAAAGAGACTCAAAGGATAGGGGATACATAATGTATACACATTTCCAAAGGTGAACGTGTCCTTGGGGTCTTGGTGGCCTCTGAATTTAATTTTGAACTTGAAGTCATTTTATTGCTGTGCAAGCTATCACCATCAATGTTTTGATATAAAGTGAAATTCAGTGGTTGTTTATATCTAGCTGATTTTCCTACCAGCCTTGCTGTTGTGAGGGCATTCCTTCTTCTTGATTGATCTGATTTTGCTCCTGGTTCCTGCTTATCTGGGTGGTTGGTAATGTATGTGTGTGATGTGGAAGGATGTGCTCAGGACTGTTTCCTTTGGCCTTTAGCTGTTCCTTTCTGAATGGTTTATAAATGTAATTAATTTCTGTATGTCTGCTGATGGCTAATTTGTCAGGTTGCCAAGCTTCTAGGAATTGCCCTGCCTTCTTAGAACTGATGTAAGCTACATTTTCCAAAATGTAATTGTAGCTGAATTTCTCTACATGCTGTGAAGTGAAATAATTCCCATTATTTCTGAGTGTTCTGAGTGCCAGTTTGATCTTTGTGAATGCATTCCTTTTGGTGCATATCCTGTCTGTGAATTGTGTTAGATTAAGACGATAAACACTTTTAAAAGAATTTGTGTGGGCATCATTTCTGTTGGGAAATGTTAAACTGCTATTCTGCTTCTGTTCAAAACCACAGTGCAGTAACTCAGAACACCAGAAAGCAGAAATATTAAAATACATTTTAGTTTTATGTTTTTGAACTTGGGGGATGTAGTCAACTGTTTTACAGACTAATTTATGTTTTGTACACACTTGACTGAATCTACTTAAATATTATGTATAGGCCTGGTGCAAATAAATAAAAAATCCTTAAAATATTAAAAAAAAACCAGACTATTATGAAGTACAGAGAACTAATTAAGAAATGTTTTTAAAGAACTCTTCAAGTCAGTTTATGTTGCTCTGCTGTTTTCCTTCTAATCTTAGACTTAACAATGTGAATTCTTGTAAGGAAACAAAAGCGAACAATGAAACTTCTTATTCATTACTCAGAACTAAAATTCATTAATGTAATGGACTTAGATACAAGCAGTTTTAAAAGGAACAGCACCATTTTGGGGGCCTAGTAAATTGAAAGATATGGGATTTATCTAAAGCCCAATCGTACTCATTATAAAAACAAAAAGTACACTATGATTTCCCCAGGCATGTAGCTTCTGATGTTTTTTTTGTTTTTTTCTAATTTGTGATACATATTGGAATGCTCAGGAGTATTATGAAGAACATATTATCAACGTTATTATTTTCATCTGAAATGCTGAACTGATACTTTTTATTTTTTCACAGTACTATAAGTTGCAGACAAGAATAAGTTTTCCTTTCATGATATAACAAGGGAAGTGACTCCTCTTTATTCAAGTACCATGAAACCTTCAAAGTATATTTCTTGGAAGTTGTAAACATAGTTTAGGATTTCTTGGATTGCATATCTTGCAACTGGATGTTTAGCAACTTTTACAAGCAAGTTACAACAGACATACACACCCCAGAATGGTACATACAACTTGGTTCTGAAGTTATGATGGCCACGTTCCTTCCCTGTGGTCATGGCACCATATCTCAGACACTCAATATTTAAAGCTGTTTGCAGAATCCTTTGTTCACATGATATTTATAATATATAAATATATATTACATTTATGGTCATAATTCATGTTGGTCACAAAGCAGGTACCAATTTGTCAGTTTTGATTAGTCTAAGGAGATTGATATCACATAGGACATACAATTAGTTCTTGATTACTTGGCTTATTTACATTTTTGCCAAAACTCAGTGTTTACTTCCAATTTTGGGCACAAATTCTCCACAGTGAACAAAAGGTTGATTGTAGTATTTGCTTAACAACAGTGATTCATTCTTGAATGATTGATGATTTACTTAATGGCCACCACAAAAAAACAAAATCAGGTCACTCATGTGATGACTGCTTTGCAACCAACATGACTTATGACCATAATGGGCAAGCTTCATTACTTTCATAAGTCAAGAACTTACTTATATGTTGTATATGATATAAATCTCCAAGTAATCAAAACTGACAAATGTCTTTGCTACCCAATCAAATCATTGCTTTCCTCCCCTTTCTTATCTTGTGCCTCTTGCCTTTTTTCCCTTTCCCTATTAATTTTGTTTCTGTTTGCATTCTATTTTTATTATAATAAATTTTAATTTAAAAAATACCTTTTGCTATTCTTTTGAAGATATTTGGAGGCACACACAGACATATTTAGTACTAGCAATCTAATTCCAAGGACAATTTAAATATATATATTGGAAGTTATTATCTAAGCAAAAGGTGCTATTTAGTTCTATAATACTTTATGTGGTTGCCAGGAAACAAATGGCAAGCATTAATCAATGCTGAGATGCATATTATTAGATACGTACATTACGCTACAACATAGTGGTATGATAAATAGACATCACTAGGATTGTAAGAACAAATATTTTATAACATCTTTTCTGTGTTTGGCTATTTTATTCTACTACACTAACCAAAAGATTTATGAAAGTCCCTCAAAGAAGCACACTTGCCAAATCTCGAGTCATTTAATACCAGTGAATGTGCTAATACACTGGAGGGAACAAACTGACAAGAGACAAGGAATAGATTTCTATTGTCTAATGTAGTTTTTAAGTATCTCTTGGAGCATCTGATTCTGCCACTAAGAAATGACATAGTAACTCACTTGAACATCAGTGAGCAGAGGAATGAGGTTATATAGACTGTGTTGTAAGTTCAACAAATAATTTTAACATGTGCTCTGGAAATAATTTAATTATGTTAATATTCAATGTGCATTTGCTTAACATTCTGTTTCAAAGCAATATAATTACATCACAATGCTTTAAGAACAATTCTACGGTGCATAGGTATCTATGCAGACTTAACAAGGACATCTTAGGCTGATCCAAAGTGAAATAAGGCAAAACTAAGAAAAATAACAATATTCGTATAGTGATAAAGTTATTACAATATACCTCTATCTTCCATATACAACAGTGATGATATAAAGTACATCTACAATTATTTTCAAACTTACTCCTTCAGAATAGTGACTACGGACAATATATTAAGGGTGTACTGATTTTAATGAGACTAATTCTGGATCTGACTCAATGTAGCTTAACAAGATTGCCAGAAAAAGATTGGTTAAGAATGTTGCAAATTTAGTTCAATTTTATCTTGAGATTCTTCCCAAATTTTAACAGGGAGTCTTATCTTCCTTATTACAATATAGAGACATGCCAGTATTAGAAACATGACCTAATAAGTCTGGAACACAAGAAAAGTTGCGAGAAACAAATATAAATATTCAAAAGGCTTAATTTCTTATGTTCCCCATTCTTTACTTACAGGCACATGCCTATTTCTCATCATTTACTTTTTCCCTTAATTTCTTTTAAAAGCTCCCTGCACATTTTAAAAACTAATTAATTAATAAGTTATCTTTCCATTTTATAACAGAGAAAGAGGAAGGTGTATTATCTACGTTCACCACCTTGAGTTATTGTAAAGAAATAAAATAAAGGCAGGATATAAATAAATAAGTAGGTAAATATATTTATATCCAGATTCCTTAAGAAATAAGAATACCATTGGTAAACCAGTGACAAACAGTTTAGGGTTATTTTTCCAGAGTCAACCAGAAGACTTTGTAGCTAATTTGAGGCTTGATATTCCTAATATTCCTAAGAAGTTTGCTTCAATCTCTGGGATGCAGGAAGAATAATTGAACAATGATTAATCAACCATTTTTGAAAAAAACAACAACCAGTTATTATTCAGAACTAGCTACATTTTTCAGAAAAAAAATTCCTTGATGGGTAAAAAAGAGAATTAGAGAGAAATTAGAGTTTTCATATTGTTATCACAGAAAATAATTTCAGATAGGTTTGTAGGTTAAACATAAAATCCATACAGATAAAATTAGGTTCTAGATGAAATGAGTACTGCCTCAAATTGTAAAAATGCAAAGATAAACTCTTCCTCCTTCAATATGGTGCCAGCTACTGAAGGGTTAAATTCTTTATCCTTTAAATTATATGAAAAAGCAAATATAATAGTGTTGGCCATAAGGGGAAAAATCAAATGCATAATAGAATGGTTCATTCATTAAGCAAATCCAGTTGCTATAAATAAAATGTATGATTTATGTAAGATCTTCCAAAAGAAATATTTTGAATGCAGTTCTCTGTGGCATTACAAGATGCAATTATGTATCATGTGTATTACAATCCATATGGGGAAACTGGATGCCCTAATCTTTATTTATCTAATTTTCCAGAGAGAGGAAAAGAATACCTTCTTATGTCATTGCCAGATGGCATATACCACCCTTTTTCCTTTTCTGTTACATAATGCAATAATGATCACACCAATTCAGGAAGCAATTTGCTAGAGATGTGTGCTTC